ACCATCTGCAAGGGCTGAGCGGGCTGGTACTAATTATCACACAGGAACAGGATTGCAATCATCGAGCTGGCAGCGTCAGGCTTGCTCAAGACACAGGGCAGCACTCCTCTGCTCTGGTGGCTCCCCGGTGTCACGTTCAGTGCGAAATGTTGTTAAAGTTACTATGAAAGGGTAATCTATTACAAATTACTCATTAATGCAACTGAAAAATCAGTGACATGTTACTGATTATGCCTGTGTCACGCTAGCTCAGCAGCAAGACTTGGTTCATGCTGCCGATTTGTCTTGTGCTTTTTATAGCAACCTTCTCAACACAACTTAGACACACACAGCTTCTTTTCTCCTCCTCACCCAGATGAGTACATGGGCCTTGGCTTTTTGGAGCTGCTGTGCCTGGCTGCACATGTGCTGCCTCCCAAGTAGTCAAACCGCTTTAATGCCTTGCAACTAAATACCCAGGTGCAAATTTGAGACCCTTTTGTGCCCATTTCTGGCAGGTACTGGGATATGCTAAGCCTCCAGGCTGTGCCCAGCAGCCATCCGTACTGGTAACACTTGGTGGTTTTTGGAAAGTAACCTCGGCAGCCAAGTCACTGGTCTTTCCCACCTCCACCAGCAGTGGCTGTGGGCACAGCCAGCTCTGCACAGGCAACATCTGCTCCGTCCTGCGCTCATCTGAGCCCGCTTCCAAAATCTCACCACTGCAGCACAAATTGCTGGAAGGCCTCTTTGCTGGCTACAGCCCTTTGGCTCTCCTCCAGAAACAGAAAAAGCTCTAATCATCTTCCTACTAGTTTGGCACCATGAGAGTGTTATCGCTGCTTCTGCATGAGGAGTTTTGCCTGTGGTAGATATTCCCGCTTTAAGCATGCTCATTAAGGAGCCAGGACTTTGTGCAAGACCCCCACACGCAGCCCCAGAGCCCACGTCTAACACCAGCCTCAGGATGGGCACAGCCAACGAGCAACAAGTCATGGGAACAGCTAGCGCTCGCTATATATTCGGTCCTTGATTTAGTCATCTCAGCCACAGATGGGTCTTGAATATAAAAGAATTATGAAAAATGAGGTAAGCACAGGGAGGTATTTAAGTAACGAAGCTGGGAAGGAAATGGAAAGCAAGGATCGGGAGAGCAGAAAAGTGAACGCAGTGAGAACAAAGAAGGAGCTGCCCAAAAGAGTTCATTCAGGAGTCCTGCACCAGGGTCAAAGTAAAAGCTGCATGGAATACGCAAAGTTTGGAGCAATGAAATAGCTGAGCACGCAGCAGAAGTGGGGAGACGAGAAAGCCCAACTCTTGCATTTATGCTCATGGCCAGAGGGCAACTGTGGCTCAGTGCCACCAGGCAGGTGGAGGCCACATCTGTCTCGGAACAAGGGATGGCCAATAGGCAGAATGATTGGGTAAAATTCAGTAAAGGGCTAAAGCTATTACAAAACGCAACGAAACTGGAAGAAAAGAGCTCCAGAGAAGCCAACGACTAGAATATATGTATAAACCTATCAATGACAAAAATGTAGGAAACATGAGAGAAAGGAGAGGCAGCAGAGACACAAGATGCGGAGCAAGAGTGGTTTATTTAGGTCATGACCAGAAGCAGCGTCCTGTTGGCATCTGGAGCTGGACATCTCTCTGCAAGACCAAACCTTCAGGGTTTCACATGGAAACTGGTGGGTAGGGCTCACTGGTCTGCTCCTGGCAGGAGGTCAGACTGGATGGGAGGGTCAGAGAGCTGCTGCCGGCCTCCCGAAGCCGGCCGGCACGGCGGGCGCAGCAGGATGCAGCTACGCGCCTTTTATCATCGGAGTCAGATTGTTCCTCCGCGGGGCGCAGGAAAGCTCCACTCTCCAGCTTCGCATGAGCCACTTCCTTTTTTTCTTTTTTTAGGATCAGAACTTCTTTTCTCTTCCTCCTCCACCTCAAAAAAGCGGACATTTAATAATTTGGATCGGAAGGGCTTGCTACCATGCAGTGAT